TTTTATCAAAAATTTATTAAAAGTAAAAGTAAGAGAAACAATCTTCAATAGCGTTGATCTTGACAAATGTTATTCAGGTCATGATTCTGAACAACATTTAAGAAATTCCAACCGTCGGTCTGAAACCTTGGATAATGCTAATGTCGGTAATATTGTAACTTTCAAATCTAATAACTTAAAAAGTACTTAATAAAAGAAAATTTTATTATAGTGTTTAAAAAATCATAATAAATTCATCAATCATTTTTTGTTCTAATAATAAACTCATTTCTCTTAGCACTCAGGATGTATCATCCGTTGTCTCTTCAAAAAGGAACTTTACTACTAGAAGTATATCAATATTTATACTTTTCAAATAAAAATAAATAAAACTATATATTTATGAAAACTTGTGTTAAATAATTTCATTTACACACATATAATATATTTATTTAACAAAATATTCTTATAATTTAATTACTCATTTATTATTGTTTTTTATTGTGTAATATTTCAATTTAAAAAATTATGATAAAAATTTCAATTTTTTTGTATAAATATTCTAAATAAATCAAGATTATTTTTTTTTTCGTTGTTATAATACTTTAAAAATAATGACAAAAATTCAAATAACAGAAAAAACGCTATTTTCAGTCGAAGCAGATCTTAGTGCATAATAATATTCACATGCAAATTTGCAAATACATTTTTTTGTATAAATCTGTTGCGTATCGATTCGGTTTGTCGGACTTGAAATGCATTCATAAACTGAAGCTGGAAATAACATCACAAATTACATAGATCATTTTTTTTAGTAATTATGCTAAAATAAGCATCTTAAAATAAAAAACTTATTAATTTACGAAAATTTCAATTTTTTTGTATAAATACTTTAAATAATCGAGACTATTTATGAAGTTATTTATGAAATATTTATCAAGATTATGTATTTACAAAATTTTATCGCGATTCATTAATTAGTTGTTTTGTAAATAAATAAAGTTTATTTTGTTTACTAACAGAATGTTTATTACATTTATTAACAGGTTTACTTTATGTATTAAATTTTATTTATTTACAGAGCAACAAATTAGTAAATCGCAATAAAACTTTATAAATACATAATCTTGATGAATATTTCATAAATAACTTCATAAATAGTCTTGATTATTTAAAATATTTATACAAAATAAATTTTTATGTAAGTTAATAAGTTTTTTTATTTTAAGATGCTTGTTAGCATTATTAAATGATCTATATAATCTGTAATGTTATTTCCAGCTTCAGTTTAGAATTGCGTTTCAAGTCCGATAAACCGAATAGGTGCGCAATAAATTTATAAAATAAAAAAAAATGTGTTTGTAAATATGCACGTAAATATCATTAAACATTAAGATCCTTTAACTGAAAATAACATTCTTTCTATACTTAAATTTTTTCATATTTAAAGTTAAAGTATTATAACAATAAAAATATAATGATAAATGCAATAAATAAATTATAAAATGTGTTGTGTTAAATAAATGTATATATGAGGTTATTCATACAACTGTTTTATATGCATATGTATAGTTTTAATATTTACATTTATATGAATAGTATAAATATTAATACAATTTCAAATTTAAATTTTTGCAGGAACTTTATTGCTGATACATTCTTAATAAAAATCTTTTAAATCGAAAGATTTTATCAATCAAGCGTAGAGGAATAATTTAATAGAGAAAGATGTATATTTCTAATTACTAATATTCTCTTTATGTTTTTTTATCGTGTCATGTTTTATAATAACACTACGCACGAAGCAGCTTGCCCAGCTACCTATCGATTTGAATATCGGAATAGGAATGATAGCGTAATGTTCCCTTTATAAACAATCGCGATGTACGAGACATTCGAATTTCGATTTGCAAATGATAATGCGGCGACTTTATGTATAAATTAGCAAAAGATCCAAACCGTGCACGCTGTAAAAAACCAAACCTAAATTGCTATCACTTTGAAATATTTAATACTTTATAGAATTTTTACTGAACTAATTTTCGTTGTCTCGAAGTATTTAACATTTCCGAAGTAATTCACGTCTTGTATTGAGATACGCGCGTGTAATATACCTTATAAAATATTTAGAATAGATTCCTACTGAAGTTCCAAATGAATTTCAATAAATATTTCAACAATGTACATTGAATCTAATTGAATCAAAGAATAAAATCTATTTTATTTGTTACTGGAAAAGATACGTAAATTAGATTATTATTACTATTTTGTGCCAAAACATTTTGCATCTTCAAGGCAATAAAATTATGTACGCGTAATCCCCAAACATATTTTTATATATAATAAGTTTAATAAATCATGAAAATTTATTGTTTATGCATATCTTTTTTTTATTTATTAATTTATTATAGTCACTTTAAATACGATTTTGCGCACTGTGAAAAAATTTATGTACGATTAAATCAAGTATTAAAATAATATGGTTTCCAATAGAAATATATATTATTTTGTAAAAAGATATGCATAAACAATAAATTTAAATTGTATATATACCTTTTATTATACAACGCATACATATTACATTTATTGGTCGTAACTATACATAATTTTTTATTTTGTTCGGTATTTCCGGTATTAAGTGTGCACAATGCGTAATTCCGTCAAAGTATATAAAAGATTATTAATAAACGTTCACAAAAATAAATTACGTACATATTTTTGATATTGATATTATTGGATCCAACAATTCTTTTGTTATTCCGCGCTTTCTAGAAACAGTAATGGACAAATTACATATACTAACGAAAAGTTTAAATCGCATTATAAAATGTATTCAAATTTAAGCATCGTTAAAGAAATAATTATTTGTAAATGCTTTGTTAAAATAATTAAAAAATTTCAATAACTTCGATTTTTATTTTAAAAGAATAAATATTGCAAAATATCTGCTTGATACATCAGAATTACTTATTAGCGGTAAATTAAAGTAAGAATTAGAGATAATTGAATATAGTCGTAAAAAATAATCTCGTGGAGTAAACGATGAAAAAAAATCATGTTGCTTCTCAATGGCGGTGTGTATATATGATTACACGTGTTGACGACCAACGTTCCATATATTTAAAAACAAACATCAAGAGTAGTCATCTCGAAAAATGTTTACTTTATTATAAAATAAATTTGAGCAAATATTCTGTTTTTTGCATTTCAAGTCAATTTCTGGGCTATCCTATCGTATTAAATCTTCTTCGTTTATTTGAAGAATAATTTAAATCCGCTACGAATTAATTCCAACACCTAATATATATATATATTTGATAAAAAATATGTAATATTATCATATGTAAATTAATTTATCATTATTATTTTAAAGCCAGATTTTTTCAAGAGAAAAATTATGTAATTTTTATAAATTGTGAAAATGAAATACAAATATCGATTAATTACAGTTGTACTAATCATTAGAATCATATCGATGCGTGAAACTTTACAAAGAATTCTTTAATTAATCAAATTTCTTATTACATTATTTTATTATATCATTATTATAAATTTATCTTTTTAAAACAAGTAAAAGAATGCGATTATTATTAGGTATCTAATAATATCTTTTTTAGCAATTAGAATATTTTACCTTTGTTATAACAAAGTTAAATTTTATCTATTAAGTTTTCATTATTTTTAATTTAATTAAAATTAATATTTCTTTGATATCTGCGTACGTTATGTAATACGGATCTTTTATCATTTATTTTAAAAATTCCTCCATATGAAAAAATACATAATATCAATTCATTTATATTAAAATATATACATATTCATAAACATAAAACATATAATACTTACAGGTATTTTATTGGATATCGAAGCATAAGTAATGTAAAAAAATTTAATTTTATACTTTAAATACATAAATTTGTATATGCAATTGGCGCAATTGGTTAAAATCATAACTTTTATAAGACAAACAGATTAAATATTGTAAAATTATTTGTAAAATATTATTTATGTCTTAATATACTTAAAAGCATTTTCTATTTTATTGAAATATTTATCAATATTTATCAATTTTTCGTATAATGTTTTTTGATGGACAATTGTACATAGTCCGACTTTTTACCCCATTTTGAAACATTTATTAATTTCTTTTCTGCCTTAGCATGGAAAAAGAAATTAGTGCCAAAAACATCTTGTGAGTTTATCTTCTTGACTAAGTTTATCGAAGTTGTCAGAACTTTTTTGTGCATAAACCTTCTATCTAATTTAATGAATGGGGAGCGATACAATCGGTTTTAAAATGCGGACATATATTTGCGTCAGATAATAGCAGTTAACGGCATAACTTACTGTGATTTACGGGCAATACGGTCGTATTTTTATGGCACACTGTTCCATTAGCTTCGATGTGCATGATTTATGCAAAGTGTTCTTGGCACTCTCTCTCCCTCTCTCTCTCTCTCTCTTTTTCGTGAAAGGTACAAGACTATTCTTATACGTCCACTCACGAAAGTCTACCGCGTATAAATATGCCTTGTCTGCACCCTTGTATATCGCGTGTAAAGTTCAGAAGTGAATAGTGACTTTCCGAGTTCTGGGGCTAATAGTTTTCGGAGGTCACTAGTAGGTGACCAGAGAAAGATGTCAATAGAAATTCTATTTTCCATTTTACAATTTAATTAATTGTTAATAAAGAAGAGGAGAAAATTATGTCTTTCTTATTATTTTGTTAACCTCTTTAATTAACTATCGTAGTTGAGAGTTTTCATAGCTGTTTTATAGCTGCAGTTAGCTATAAAAACTACTCATAAGTTCTAAAACATCTTGTTTGAAGTACGTAATTTCCGTCTTACGGCGATGGTAAAAGATTCAAAGATTTTTATTTACAATTTAGAACCTTATAGTATTAATCGTCTAAAATTTTCTCTTGGGTCCAAATGACTCGTCGCTGTAATCCAGGATTAAAAAACTCTGTGGAAAATTCTGATGGACTGTATCAAGCACTGCTTTTTTTTTCATTACAGGTGTCTTGGGTGCGTAGACGGGGAGAGGAGCTTCATTTACTCACTATTGGTCTCGATACGTACGCGAGTGACTCCAGATTCTCCCTAGCCTTTGAGAAACCCAATGATTGGCGATTGTTTCTACGCTCCGCTACGGAACGCGATGCCGGCCTTTACGAGTGTCAAGTCAGCGCCCACCCACCATTAATCAGAACTGTCCATCTAGCGGTGTCAGGTAAGTGAGCGCGTCATTGCGTGTGTGTTCATCTAACCGTCCGGGACTTGGCAACCTCGAAGCAATCAAGAGCTGCTATTTCCTACTGCTACTAATGATATGTACTTTGATCTGATGACCGCATTGCGACCCGTAAATCATCGTGTTTGTACAGAATATCTCAAAATCATTGCCATTATCGAAAGCGCTGATATTATAAAGCATAATAAGAAAACAAATGTACAATGTCGATTTGTTGGCAATTAGAAGGTTATTTAAATTCAAGTTAAACAGTTTTCGTCAAAAGGAAATTTCCAAATCACTTAAAGAATTCCGTAATTAAAGCATGTGGAACCTCTGAAGCAACCCTGTATCATCATACAAAACTTTCTATTTTCGGCGTAATTGCTACGAGGCGTTTGTTTCGAGATGTTTGTAATTCGTGACAATTGTAACTATTTGCATAAAGTGAAGACTAATTATGCTAATGGTAAAGATGAAAGACCATGATGCATTATTGTCTTAATTTACTTTTATAAAGTACTACAACTAGAAAGTCGTTCTCTGGATACATAATCCATGTGTCCCGTGGCGCGTTTTCGCTGGACCATAAATCACGGTAGCCACGTCGTTAGGGTCGTCCTCTTCGTGGCATAATGGCGATCTCGATGCTGTAACGATGTTCTCGTGGCACCCACGTCCCACGCCACTTAATTGGACTCCCGTCCTTTACTCGTATCCTCCCTTTTCGTTCTACCCTTCCTTTCTGTCTTTTTCTATTCGCGCGTATCTGTATTTTTCTTTTATTATTGACAATGTAGCTACGCCAGTCTTTGATATACGAGTTGCACGATTGCATGTGGATACGTGTATCGAACAAAATACAGAAATGTGTTAAACTATACACTCCGGCAGTGATAACATCGTCTTCCTTTAGTTGCAACGAATAAAGATACTTAATTTCAATAACGAAGTGTAACTTGTTCTAATAGCACAGTAAGCTCATTATCATCTATCATGTATGCATAATGGACTTGCATGGATAATTCGTGACTGACTCAGCCGACTATCAATGATTGATTGATAGCGGGCAATATCGCAGTTGTCAGCTATATTTGATTAATAACGGATGTAAGACTAATAGACACTTTGAAGATCAAATTCGGGCTTTCATCTACAACGTCCGATGATATCTCTATAGCATGACGGTTTTAGCTACGTGTAGCTAGGCGAATAGTTCGGCCGAGATTAATGAGACTGGCGCGCGTTGAAAAGAGAACTTGGAACACTTGAGGTTTCAAAATTTATATATTCGAATAAGAGCGATTAAAAACACACACACACAAAACACACATATGCATAGAATCTGTAAATTAATTATGGTACCACGAGCACGAGTGACGTATGTCGCAAAGTATAAATTTATGGTGACGAGCGCTGTAACATCGTTATCAGAACATCTTTCAAAAGTATACTATTCTTTACTTCAGCAGATAGTTAAGTCTTTATTGATCGATACAGAAAACTTCATTCTTACGTTTTTCTCAAAAGTTTGTGAAAAGTATAATATTCAGTATAATTAGATTTACTTAATACGACTGTGAATATATAGTTAACTCTCTGACATATGCAAAGAGGGAGATACATTTCAAATTGGATTATTGGATGCAAAATGTATCTTAAAGTTTCATACTTTACCATAGTTGTATTTATCACGTATATGTACTAGTATAAAATCTCGATTTAACAAATGCACATGCTTGTTAGACTGCATTACGAGAAAGAAACATAGTGATAAGAACGCCTACAGATAAGTACGTGGTGAAAGATGCAATGATAGAAAGACGAGGACAGAAAAGAGATAGAAAGCGTCGCGAGATGAAATCAATATAGGTATGCAGATATCGAAATATTTTTCAGTCACCGTAGCTGCAATAGGAGGGTTATGAAATATCTGACCGAAATACCAGGTACAGGACTGAAATAAATTCCATGCTCTGTGAAATAAACGGAATATTTCGCGGATCCAACTGGTGGAACGAACGATTGCGGTATATTATTCTTCTACATATCGTTCGGCTTTCGTTTTAAGTTATAAAGTCTGTTCAAGCGTATCATTTTTACATAACCTTCGGTTGAATATCGATATAGTAAATGATGATCTTTCTTGTACGTACATTAAGAATCTCTCGAGTAGTAGGAATAATGGAACAGCTTGATCGAGGTATATATTCTGATTTCCTTTGCCGATATGATTTTTTAAAACGAATCTTTTTATGTATGACAGCGTATCGTTGCGTTAATAGAAAAGTGATACCTCAAAATTAGCAACTTTTCATTAGAAATCTTTTTTTACAAGTTCTTATTATAATTGAAACATTGTTTTAAATATGATAATGAATGTACAATTTTTATTACTTCACTTTCTTTCCATATTATATTTTTAATGATAATGTATATTTATTAAAATTATAATACAGAGTTCTATAGACAAGAAGATTCTTTCTTCTCGACACCATTTTTATCTCTTTTCTATCCATGCAAAATAATCTAACAAAATGAATAGTCTAATTATAGAAGTCTGTGTTTAAAACTATGCTGTAAGTATTTAAAATTCGAACATTGCAGCTATAATAAAATGTAAATTTAATTTCTTATCAGAGTTGGGACATTTTTCCATATAAATGAGCTATGTGTCAAAAATGAGTCACGTTTTTCCACAAAAATAGGGGAAATCAAGGTACCATGGGTATCATCATCGATTGTTTAATTAACATATAATCTAGAATGTTTAAATTAATATTATTACTAATACATTACTTCGTTGCCCATACTTTTTATCTAAGTGGCAGTGATTAAATTTTTATTGTATCGAAAAGCATCGATCATTAATGATTTTCGTAGTGCAAAAGTAACTTTTTAATCGCATAAAAATGTTTTAATATTATTTTTGTAGTAGAAGATACATGTATGAAGATAAGATGCAAGTTTCTACACATTTTTTTTCAAGTTACTACGTTACAAGTAATAATCTAACATTTATTTTTTACAGTTTTCTATTAAATTATATAATTAAATGTATAGTTAAGGTACCATGGGTCATACATTAAATATTCATGATAAAACAGGACAATATAGAAAATATATGTACTAAAAAGGCAGTTTATACTTCTAAGCAATTAATTTTATTTTATCGTAATATATTTTTTATCTTATATTAATGGTTATTTTTCATTTGTTTTCTTATAACTTTCTATTTTATTATTTAATAATTATTAGTTATAATTATATTTTATTATATTAGTGACTAAGAATGTGTAAGTTAATTGAAAATATTTTTCAACTTTCATCACTGTTATTTCTTGCATAATTCTACTATTTTAAATGTAATCCATGATATCCCGGCATGGGTCATTTAAAAAAAAATATGTTTTTATTTTTTTCTTAAAAACTAATAAATATTTAATAAATATACTAATTAAATTTTAAAATATACATTATACTTTAATTATTAAAAAAAATAATTCAAAAATTGTTTTATATTTAGATATATTTAGGTGCACTTTTAAGAATTTGAATTTTTGTGACATGGGGGAGGTGCCCCAGTCTCCCCTATATTATATAAATCTTTAAGATCAATTTCTTTTCATTATCTTAAAAACTTTAATATTTTTATTTATGTCATTTTTTTATCAACACAGCAATAATTCTTGTATATTCAATAATTCACACATAAAATAAAACTTTGTGACGTTTAAATTTTACACAGCATCGTGATTTCTTAGAATATTACTTCATTCTTGGACAAACAAAGAAAAATGCGCGAATAATGATTTCTTTTGAGAACTTGCCGATGTGTTCGTTAACGTCGAGATATGGCTCTTCCTTTTTTTCGATCTTCTTTTACGCATTTCTACATCTGGTAGTTTATTCGCCGTTTTGCCCTTATCGCGCGCAAAGATTTCTGTAATGACCTGTAAAAGTTGCGACGGGCATCATTTATTATCGCGACTTTACTTTTCTTTCATTCTCTTATCCTTCCATTAATCAAAAAGCTATCATTGTCTCCTGATGAGCTATTTATGTTATTATGCGTAAGCCAAGATAACATTGTTCATTATTGTAGGCTATAAACCGTTCAATATCGGCAAGTGGACTCGCTTACGTAAAAATAAAGTTGCTTTACAGAACTTAGAAGAAATAATTCCTGGTCGGCGGGCACTATACGGAAGCTTTATTTCTGGCAAACGTTCAAATAGTTAGGAACTTAAATTCCGCTAGCGACGGCGGCTTTTCCGAGGGCGTAAACTGCTTGTGCCAGCGCCCAGTCTCTCGTTTCACTACCGATCTACATTGAACTCTGGCGTTGTGAATTTTACGAGCCTGGAGCCACATTCTAATCGGATTTCCATAATGGCCTATCGATTGATGTCGGCCCGGTACAAAAAGAGTGCGAAATTAATACAAGAAAGAGAGAGAAAACGTTTCTTCGTCGTTTTGAACAGTTAATATATAAAATCGCTATAAAATAAAACAATAAAAATTTCAAAAAGAACTTTGCCCATTTTATGTATATAGATTGAAATCATTTTCATACAAAGATGTATTGTACATCAAAGCACATAAAGTAGATTAAATCTGCAAGTACCAAAGCTAAAATAGATCAATGTTAGAACCTTATCATTGTGAGATATACTAGTCTCTAAAAGAATCAGTATATTACTGATTTCAATGCTACATTTGTAACTGTAATCATCAGTGAATAGTTACTATTTTTCAGTAATGATACACACACACACACACACACACACACACACACACAAGTTTATTTTTAGAAGTTATGGTTTCTATAGATTGAATCTGCAGAAAATCATAACTTCTAAAAGTGAATCAGTATTATTACTGAAATACAGTAAATATTCGCTGATGATTACAGTTAAATAACACTGATGTTAGTAATATATTGATTCACTTTTAGAGATTTTGTTATATTTCTGCTTACAGAATCCTGGTGAAAATTT